CCAGATGCTCGCCATCAATGAGGTATATCACTTCCCTCTGGTTGCCATGATCCGTGGATGCGACTTTAACTGTGCTGGCTGGTACTAACTGACGTAATAGATCAGATTTGGTACCATGTTGGTATTGTATGTGGCGAAGATGCTCGATTTTAGTTGTTGCATAGTGAGGATGTATGTCACGCTGCAGTGTTTTAGCTTTACAGATCTGGTTCAGTCATCGTAGTTTAGCTTTACAGATAAGACACTGATTTCTAATTGATTTAGCTAGCCTATTGTATTAATTGTTGTGAGTAAGATGTGAAAAAAATTCAGGATGTATCTCACATCACTACATGAAATACATTGTTTTCAGGTTTTGTACATCAGCTGCATTCTTTAATTATCTAGTTGGTGGATACTATTTTGTGGATGGCCATGCTTGTGTTGTAAGTAGAAGTTAAATGGAAATAATGTTCATATTTCTTAAGAGAAACACTGAATAAAACAGTAGCCAGTAGGTGTGTACAAAACCTTGTCTGAAGCTTGTTGGTAGAAAATCATTACATAAGGCACATATTCACACTAAACCTTGACACATAAATTATTGGTTTCATACTACTGTCCTTGATACAGAAAGTATTAATAATCTTTGACAAATTATTGCTATTTTCTCATATGATTATAGCATGAAACATACTATCTAGAAATTATTTCTCTATTGTCATTGCTTTCCTAATTGAATCTTCATTTCAGATTACATACCACTTCTTCCACTGGAAGAAGGGAACTCCATTCGCTGATGATCAAGGGATGTATAATAGGTTGACTTGGTGGGAGCAAATGGACAACGGCAAGCAGCTTACTCGCAACAAAAAAATTCTTGTTGTGGTTCCTGTAGTCCTCTAAGTGTTATTCTGTTTCAATTTTATTAATACTGCTTTTGGGAGCTTATTTGGCAAGGAACGGCATGGCAGGATGTATGCACAAAGATTAATTCTGGCTAGTCAAAAATACTACACTTATTCATTAATTCTGCAAAGAACACTCGTTTGTAACATCTAGGTCTAACTTGCATATTCACGCCATTATACATGTGTAAGGATTGGGCATTGCTTTATTGTGGCAAACTGGTTAAATACTTGGCTGTGATCACGTTTGTGGTTGGTGCGTGAGCAAGCAAAATCAGAAGTGATCCCAACTGATCATACTATTTTTGCGTTTGCTAGAATTCTTCATCTGCCATCTGATAACATAGTAAGGCATATGATTGCTCTATTTAAGTGAATTACAATTTTAATTTTTTTTCTTTATGAGTGGACAGACCAGTCACATTTGTATGCAATTATGGTGGAAAATCAAAACCCTGTATGTTGTGCCTTTTTTGTTAATGGTAAATAGTGATTATTTGGCATGTAGCCATATATGAAATATGTTTCGCTTTAATAGCCACACTTATGTCACAGCTCATACATAAGCTTGTCTTATGCAATTCTTCTTCTTGCATTTCAGTTTTATGTGTTATTAACTGTTAGTACAAGACATCAAGTGCACGGCTGGTAGTTTACTTACTAGCTATGTTCTATTGGGATATGTATATATATGTGTGGATTTTAAGCATGGTTCTTATATATGTGATAAGTGCATACCACTACAACTCCCTTTGTCTGGTATTATAAGGCCATTTGATTGAATGCTTGAAAAGATGAGTCGCTAAAGTGAATGTGCTTCTAAGTCTCATGTAATATGCAAAGAACAAATTGAAACCATGTTTTTAAAATTAAAGGGTCTGATTGATATCAGTCCTTGTTTTGGCAGATATATTATGTATCCTGACTTGTTATTTTCTTCTCTAGCAAATTGTAGACGTGAATCTCTAGTTGACCTATTGCTTCGTAGACATATATCGGTCCTATTACATTTTTAACTTGCTGCAAGTTCTATGATATGTGAGTTCCTTCTGTTGCTGCAAGTAGTGACACAATATGCTGTGTGCAGCGGGCTCTGCATCCAAGTCCTGGCCGTCCTCCACAGCAAGGAGTTGGGCCAAGGGAGCAAACAGCGCCACTGGTTCCTTCAAGATGCGTGCTGCTGGTCGAGTCTTGTGGAGAAGCAAGGCCAATCGGGCATTGTCTCAATTGTTATGCTGTGGTAAGAACAAAACACCACTCTCACTTGATGTTCATGTATTACTACAGCAAAACATTCTTACGGTGATTGTTAGCGACACAACAATTATCTCGTATAATAGTGTCATTCTCTTCGTAGTTAATAAATGCATCTTGTCCAACCGAGTAAACTGGACCCAACTTGTACAATAAAGTGAACTAAATGTTGTCACATTCTGTACATGTTACTTTCTATTTGGTGTCTGGTAATGATATCTACGGAAATTCTACTTTGTAAAAAATAAATAATGTGTTATGGATCACAAGCTAATTTTTGTTGACATGAATTTGTTATGCTCCTTATTTTGACTTGGTTTCACCCACGTTGCTTTTCAAAACATGAGACTGATGAGTGTTCCTTGTAGGCAACATTGATTTAGGATTGATTTAAGATTTTGTGAGTATGCCGAGGTTCTGCGAATATGCATTGGAAACATTAGTGTTCTGATATAATTAGTCTCTAAAACATCTAGTCATTTGAAGTTGTTTGAATCTGTTGCTTTATCATACATTCGATCCATAAATCTGCATTTCTGTGAAATTTTGTTAAATATATATTTTCTAGATTGTCTATACACTAAACCTGGAGGTTTGAATATCTACTCCAGTAATGAAAATGGTACTCTAATGCCTTTGTGTTCACCCTTTTATAGGAGCTCTGGGCCTAGGAAATTTCAAGTTCGAAGCGGCGTGTAGCCCTACGCAGCAAAGATTAGTTCTGTTTGACTGTAATAAACTGTAAATATTATAGTACTGTAATAGTAGGTATATCTGGGTTGTAATAGACTATGCACAGATTGTAATAGACTATGTACAGGAGCTCCAGGCCTAAGAAATTCTACATTTGTTCTGTTCTATTTAAAATATTGATTATTTGTGTGATTTGAAGACGTGTGAAATGGAAACCTGATTCGTGGGACCCATTTGTGAAAATAATCTAAACAATGCTCACATTTTTGACATGTAGGACCAATATAGGAGATTATGACAAGTGGGACCCATCTGACTTGTGGGACCAGATTGAAAAATATAGACTGAAAAACTAAAAAGGCCATGGCCCAAAAAAAAGGCTAAATTGTTGGGCCAGGCCCATGTAGCTAGAGAAAATTCACAAAAAAAATATACAGTAAAAAGGCTGAATTAATGGGCTCGACCCATGTAAAACGCTGAATCGGACCGGGCTGATTCTTGTGCCACATCAGCTTGCCACGCTGGATGACTACGTGGCCTGAGGAGGTTGCTAGTGACCAAAAATTTGGTCATGGAACCAACGACCTTTTACATATCACAAAGAAGGTCACTAATTTCAGTTTACGACCGCCAGCTTTTGACCTTCTGTTTTTTGTCACAAAAAGGTCGCAAATGAAAAACTATGACCTTTCAGGGACCAATAGTCAAGGTCACAAGTTGACATATTTCTTGTAGTGTATGATCAAAGAGGGGAAGGCCACACTCAAGAAAAAGAAGTTGAAGATCACCACCAATGCGAACGACGCCGGGATGTTATCCTTGAATGTGGCCTCTTTGGATGCCTACGCAAGAATGATCGTGTAATCTGCCCACTGTCGGTCTCAAAACCGGTGGATCTCGGGTAGGGGGGCCGAGCTATGGATCTTGGATCAATGGGGAACAAAGGAGGAAGGACACAGTGTTTACCCAGCTTCGGGCCCTCTCTAGGAAGTAAAACCCTATGTCCTGCTTGATTATATTGAAGTGTATAAGATGATTACAGAGTCGGTCTACCACGAGATCAGATGAACTAAATCCTAGGCTAGTAAGATGATGGTTGTTGTTCTAGCATCTACGGACTAAACCCTCTGGTTTATATAGACACCAGGGGTGCTAGGGTTACATATGGTCGGTTACAACAAGGAAATAAACACGCCGAATCTCTTATCTTGACTTGGAGCACACACCAAGGCACCAAAGATCTCCTGTCCGGATACAATGTCGCCCAATAATCCGGCCTTCTAGCAGCTGTAGTGCGGCCCACCTGTCCGGCCTATGAGAGGTAAGTCGGTGGCCCGAGTACCCCCCAGTCCAGGACTCCCTCACGCCCTACCAGATGTTCGAGTGGCAGTCGGCTGAGTTGATAGCAACAAACAATGATTACATGACGGAGGCGGAGGCGGAGACTACCTACGTGGCGGCGACGACACCTTGATGGATGAGCAGATGGCCGGGATTGCCAGTCCGGCAGGGCAGAATTTTGCACAGACTGCCGGACTGATGTTCTTTTGGATTCGGGCATGTAAAAAGTCAGCATGTTTGCCTCTTTTTGGTTGTGATCGGGCATATGTGATCCAACGCTATCCGACAAGCTGTGTGGATCAGACTCTATTTGAATTTTAAATTTTTCTTTACTAAGGGACATATACATAATAGTATTGGATGGCGGCCTCACGCATCTGTGCCCACAGACTGGTCCCATGTCCGCGGATAGATGCGGAAGAAAATTTACAGATCGCCGTGGACTGGTCCCATGTCCGCGGATGGATGCGGAAGAAAATTTACAGATCGCCGTTGGAGTGCTCTAATATATTCAATTGGGGAAGCTCTCCCTCCGTGACCGGTTCAAAGAATAAAAACCTCTACGAGCTGTTTATCTTTTTTACCCTGTTTCGCTCATTAACTTGCCGCTCTATATACTTTGCGTAATCCAAGTTTCATCCAGGAGAGCTCTGACAAGGTGGAATATTTGCAAAGGACCGTGCATGTGCTTCATTTATTTCTAGGTGGACCATGGAATGTAATACTAGATGCTATGATCTTTCGGATCGGAATATTTCCTCCATGACGTTGTAATGGCAGTGTCGGCCAACAGCGCAAACGGCACGACGCAAAACAGTTGCAGGCATGGACCGCCCTGCGTGCTTTAAAACGACCCAAGTTCGATCGGGCACCTCAACACACATGAACCAAAGCCGGAAAAAAGTCGGCACGTCCACTCCGGCAACCATGGTGAGCTCACCACTCCATCCCAACAAGCACCTCCTCAAACCCCTCTACCAGCTGCTTGTGAACAACTTCATCGTCGTCGTCGGGGTGCCGATCACAGCCATCAGTGTTCTCCGCAAAGCCGCGCACCTCGGCCCCGACGAGCTACTCACCCGGCTCCATGACTTGCGGCAGGTCCACATTTTCCTGTCCGTCTTCCTTCCGTTCGCCTTGGTCATCCTCTACATCATGCGCCGCCCTCGCAGCGTGTACCTCGTGGACTACGCTTGCTGCCGGCCGAAACCCAATTGCCGCGTATCCATGGGCTCCTTCACCGAGAACGCTCGCAACATGCCGTACCTCGACGATGGCAGCTTCCGCTTCTTGACGCGCATGCTCGAGCGCTCGGGCCTCGGCGACCAGACGTACCTTCACCCTTCCTTGCACAATATCCCCCCGCGATGCAGCCTAAGCGACAGCCGCGACGAGGCGGAGCAGGTCATCTTTGCAGCCATCGACGACCTGCTCGCCAAGACGGGCATAAGTCCCGGAGCGATCGACATCATCGTCACCAACTGCACCGCCTTCAACCCGACGCCGAGCTTCACCGACATGATTATAAACAAGTACAAGCTCCGAAGCGACATCCGGGACGCCCACATCTCCGGGATGGGGTGCAGCGCGGGGGTGATCTCCATGGAGGTCGCGAGGAACTTCCTGCAGGCGGCTCCGCGTGGCGCGCACGCCCTGGTGGTGTCCACGGAGACCACGTCGCTCATCAACTACACGGGGAAGAACCGCGCGATGCTGCTGCCAGCCGTCCTGTTCCGCATGGGCGCGGCCGCGGTGCTGCTATCGACGTCCAAGTCTGCATCCCGGTTCCGGCTCACGCACGTCGTGCGGACGCTCACCGCCGCGCAGGACAGAGCATACCGGTGCGCGTACCAGGAGGAAGACGAGGAGGGACAGACGGGAATAAACCTGTCCAAGGACCTCGTGGCTATCGCCGGCGAGACGCTCAAGGCAAACATCGTCGCGATAGGGTCCCTGGTCCTCCCGCCATCGGAGAAGCTGCTCTTTGCGCTGTCGTTCGTTGCGCGGAAGGTGCTCAACAGAAAAATCAAACTATATGTCCCCGATTTCCGCACGGCCTTCCAGCACTTCTGCATCCATTCTGGTGGCCGGGCAGTGATCGACGCGGTACAAACTAGCTTATGCTTATCAGACGAGGACGTCGAGCCGTCGCGGATGACGCTTCACCGGTTCGGGAACACGTCCAGCAGTTCATTGTGGTACGAGCTTGCATACATCGAGGCCAAGAGGCGGACGCGCAAGGGCGACCGTGTGTGGATGGTCGGGTTCGGCTCTGGGTTCAAGTGCAACAGCGCCGTGTGGGAATGCATCAGGGCGCCCGGCAACACCACTATTGGCGCGCCATGGGCTGATTCCATCCATCATTATCCTGTATAGACATCTTGGGAAAAGGAAAAGGATCCGTGAACATACGATCTCGATCCGTTCAGAAAAATTTATTGTCAAGCAAAAAAAATCCCAATGTGATTTTCTATATATATTGAAAGCATAGCAAATAGTTTGTGTCGCAGTAAAGTACGAGAGAATGGTTATGTAATCAGCTTTGATTTGTGGGTGAATCGTGAATATGTGATTTACAGAAACACTAGCTGAATGACCATCTATACCGTTTGTACAAGTTATAACCGCGAGCTAAAAAATTCTCCCTCCCTTTCGGTTTAAATACTCATCTGAAAAGAAATCCAAAAATTTCAGTTTGTAAGGGCACTTTGTTTTTGGGAATACACAAATATGTATATTTAAAAAACAGTTCGTCTAATTCACATATAGATGTTTTTAATAATGTCACATCTAAGCTTCCACAAATATATAATGCAGCAACAAGAAACAAAAAAACTAGGACAAAAAATAGACCACAAACAAAGTGAATATCACCTTAGATGTGACATAACTATGTCACATCTAGATGTATCCTTTTTTTTACCAGGAAACCGTAGAACAATGGTTCTACGGTAAATTATATTAATAAATTATGTACAAACAAAGCTGATTACATCACAGCAATCATCCAATACCAGTTTTGTGAAACATGAGAACAATTATAAATTCTGTATAACCCAGGAGCTAATCTTGGCCGCTTTAGTTTGCTTTGCTTGTATCTGTGCTGCCCATAGACCATCTTGAAGATAGAATTTCCAACCCTGAATGTGCGGAACTGCTGCACGAAATATCTTGTCATTTCTGATGGACCATATGCTCCAACAACCCATCACAATTATATCTAGGGCAATATCTGTAGGGAGTTGCTCCAAAGCAAGTTGAAAGTCATCGAAGACAGATATTCCTCTTGGCTTGGAAGGGATGATGGTATCCCAACATCGGAGAGCAAAGGGGCAATTCCAGAATAAGTGAAGCAGCGTCTCCTCCGTGTTATCTGAACAGAGTGCACAGTTGTAGCTGGTAAGATGCATAGATTTCATGTGGAGGAGGTTCCTTGTATTGATCCTGTCATGCAGCAGCAACCAGATAAAAATCTTGTGCCTCAGTCTGCAACTTGTATGCCAAATCTGTCTGAAAATCGGGTGCACCAAGCTGGGTCCACATATATGATGATACATCTTGATGGAGGAGTAACCTTTGGGGGCTCCCAGAACTTGCCATTCATCGGGGTTACTGGATTGTGGTCGTCGTTGTAGATGCTGGTTTAGCAGAGTATACTGCTGGAAGGCTTGTTCAGATAGAGGAGTGTGAAAGAGTTCAGACAGGTCTGGTTCTTCCATAGCAGTCTTCAGGGTAACAAATTCATTCTTGGTATAAGAGTGCAGTTCAGGGAATTTGGACCGAAGAGGTTGATTCCACCAGTTATCAGACCATAGAAGAGTGGTGTCACCAGAATGGGCCTTGCAAACTGCAAATTTTTTGTATGTTGGCAGCAACTTGAGAATAGCTTTCCACCAGAAAGAGCCCACCAATCTCTCACCAGGCAGGGAGTTGGAGTAGTAAGTTTCCCAGATGATATTGATCCAAGGAGTATCAACTCTATTAAGGAATTTATGTAATTGCTTCACGAGAAGTGCCTGATTATGAATGTCAATATCCAATATCCCTAGTCCTCCATTGGCCTTAGGTTGACATGCAGTGTCCCATGCTATGAGTGCAGCACCCCTCTCCAAAGATCCATACTTCCTCCAGAAATAGTTTTTCAGATAGATGTTCAGTTGTTTAACCACTAATGCTGGCATCCTTAAAGAGCACATGAAGAAAGTTGGCAGGCTGGAGAAGACAGATTTAATGAGTGTTAATTTGTCTTCAGTGGAAAGCAGAGTAGCACAACCAAGCAATCGATTCTCCACTCTCTTAAGCAACGGCATGTAATCTTCCACTCTAGGTTTGTGTAAGCTGAGAGGCAAACCCAAATAGGTGTGGGGAAGTGCTCCAATCTGGCAGCCAAAGATAGATGACAGATATTGCATTTGTTCCTCAGAGGTGTTGATGGGAATCATAATAGACTTGTTGTAGTTGACTTTTAGTCCAGTGAAAGCAGCAAAATGCAGTAGCATATTCTTAATATGTATCAGTTGGGAGGCCTCAGCTTTGACCACTAAAATGGTATCATTAGCATATTGAATGATAGGAAAATCAGGGCTTGATTGATGGACCAGAGGGGGTTGTATCATAGAGTTATGCATTGCCTCATTCATCATAGATTGTAAAATGTCTGCTGCTAGCACAAAAATGAGAGGGGAAAGAGGGTCCCCTTGTCTGACTCCACATTTGCAAAGAAATTGTTTACCAGGAACCCCATTGAGAAGAACAGAAGAAAATCCAGTGCCATCAATGTCACACCCTAGCTAGTCATGCATTAGAGTGTTGCATCATGTTTACTCTTTCAGCAGAAACTTGAAATGGGGATGACAGAACCCCCAGTCCCCTCTGAAACCAACTAGGGTTTACTAAAATAATTTTCAATGAACCTGAAATGCCCTTCTAAAATGCCCATCATTTTTGCCTTGGTTCAGAACCTCTGCCAAAAATGGTGCACACTTTTCTAGGCCATCCTAGGGTTCTTGAGTTAAATCATAACTATTTGAATTTGGGCATTTAAAATAATATAAAATATTTAAATGCTCAAATATCTCCAAACTAAAATGTTTCATGTTGGAAATAATCCAACCATGAGCCAGGAGTAGTTTGGTGATTTTTGGAATTGCCTAGGTATTTTATTTAATTCAACAAAGTTGCAGATTTATTAAATAAAACAGAAAACAGAAGAAAAAGGAAAAAGCTTACCTGGCGCCACCGCAGCCCACTAGCCAGCCCACCTGCCGGCCCAGCCCAGCACCGCTCCAGCGAGCTGCTTCGGCCAGGCAGGCAGGCAGGTGCCCGACGGCGACCGCGGCGTGCGCCACGCACCTGCTCGCCGCCTCGCCGCTCCCCTCGCCAGGTGACGACGTGGATCGTCCTCCCTCTCTCCCCCGAAT